TGTTATATATATACATTTTGGTCCGGTTTTATTTTAATAAGTCGTGCGATTTTAATCGAGCCCGAGAACGAGTTATTATATCGAACCCGAACCGAACCCGATTGTCGACCCAGTCCGGTTTTCCTCCCTCACGTGCGTGTGTGTGCGTGTGGAATTTTCTTGCAAAACAAGAAAATTAAACCTAATATGCTAAGGTATAAATATATGTATATATATGTACGCCCTTCAGCAATTTTCACAGAGGCAACCCGCAGCCAAACTTCTTCTTCCTCTCGCAAGCTTCCAGGCCGTCCCCCTCATCGTACAACTTCAGCTTTCGGGACCCGTCGAGTTCCGTCGAAAAGCCTATCGTGATCGTCGAGTTCCGTCGGGTTCCGTCGGAGCGTTAAACGAAGCCGACGTGTTCCGGACGCCGAGCCGCTGTCGCCACCTTCACCCACGTCCTTCCCAATAACGCAGCAACCATCCCGTCGACCCACTCCGGCGACCAGCAGTCCAACGCCGTCGACGAGGAGTGTCGTCTTTCGTTGTTCGTCGAGGTTTCGCTCTGTCTGAATTTCGTTCGTTCGTTCGTTCGGTCCCGTTAGCTTGTAGATTCGTGATCAAAGGTATTGTACGAGACACTCTTGTAAGTCGTGCTTAATCTGTAATGCTTGTTCTGCTTAATCTGTAATGCTTGTTCGTCCAAATAATCGTTATTTGTTTGTCTTTCGATTGTTGATTTTGGTTTAATAATATTTGGTTCGTTTCGTTCATCGTGCCCTGAGATGGTAATTGTCATCATGAAACTGTTGGAACTCCCATTCGTGTAGGTCAAGTTGGGTTGTTGTGTGCAATTTCGTGATATTTTTGGAGTCTCTGTCATATATTCGTGAAATTGCCGTTTGTTCATCTTGTCGTTTTAAATTTCAGATCCTTTGTATATTAATGTTAGTAATCTGATCAAATTCTGTTGAGGATCTGCAAAGTGTTTTCATAAAAAAAAAAAAGAGAGTTTGATTATGTGTTGCCTATTATTGATTTCCGCCTTGCTTTGTTGTCCTGTTTCTGTTTGATTTTGACTTAGTGCTTAAGGTGCTAAGTTCCTCCATGGGATTGAGTTTTAAGAATGCTAAGAATTCATAGATTTTGCTAACCTAAGAAAGCTTATATGAGTTTGATTTTTTTTTTATCATGATTTTTCGTCAATCTGTGTACCATATTCTGTTGCTGCTATTGTGAGGTTTCAATGCTTTAAGAGAGTTGCTATTATGTCAATAATCTCAGCCCTGAATACTTTGTTGGCGTGTCTTAAGATTTAATGAGAAAGGGAGCATGTTTACGTGGTCTTTTTGGCTATGCTATAAATGTTTTGTTAAGCCCCTGTTCAGAATGTTTTAAGATGAAATTCATGAGCTTAAGATGAGAAAATTCAGTTAACAAAATCAATTTATAAGGACGCTCAAATTTTAGAGTTCTTGAAAATAGGTAAGCAGGAGTATGAGTGCTCTTTTGTCTCGATTAGTCGTGTATGTTTGATCTCGTTTGCTGAATTTGTTGTGGATGTTTTAGATGCTTTCCGTGTGTTTTATCTGCCTTATGTGTTTTAAATTTCCTTGCCTGTCTTATTTGTCTATTTGTCTGTTTGTCGTCACCTTTAGTAATAAGAGGAAAAATTATTTAAATCGTAGATTTCGAGGAGTCGAATCTCGAGAGTTGTTCCGAGTGACCTCAGCTACTTTTCATCTACACTTTTTCCTCTATCCAGGTGGGTTGTAATTGTAAAATTTGCTATGCTTTAATTAATTGTTTTTGTTGTGGTATGATCAAAAGTATGCATGTGAACCATGTAGCCTTCGATGTGAGCTATATTGGCCGTCGAACGGTTATCCTCGTAGCTATAGAACGTACCTTCGGGTAGTCTCCTTTATTATTGTTGACAGACAGGG